ACTTGCTTGACCATGCGGAAATTTATATCATTTACCTTCATAAATTACTTACCACTGAAAACTGGTATGAATTAACATCGATGTTTCGGTTCGAAATTTTTATTTCGATTTGCAAGCACACGAGTGCGGAAGCTTTTTCGCGTCCGCTTCCTCTCTTGGACGATTTCATAGGCGATATGGCAATATCATATTTGGTATTGGAGACAATGGTCTCGCCATTCAGCTACTGGCTTCGAAACTAAAGCAACATCAACAAATCGTATAATTCAATGTCGATACACCATTCGAAACCAAGCAACGGCAAAAGAATCCATATGTTAGCCTAAGAGCGCCAGCAATAATTACAATTGATTGACAAACAGGAACCACTTCCAAATCAAAATTAGAATGCCACTTTACAACCAAAATAACCACAATAAACCGTTCATTTTAGCATTAGGAATTTTAGAAACCAACGAAAAAATGAACCTCGCCACCCAATTACCGATACCAAAATAAAGTAACGATAAAATATCTCATGCCTGAATATTTATTGTAATATTAATAAATATATTAATATCGAAATATTATATCGAAATCAATGTACTAATATAATTTTTTAGCATGACTTTAATTTCATAATATTATAATATCACTTCACGAGTCCACGATAAAAAATCTCGATATTCACAAACATATATAGTCGCACAATTCGACATTATATCCCAAATATAGCGAAAAATCACCAATAATAGATCGTACACCTTTAAAATAATAGGACACCATTTCGAGAGCAACGACAATATTATTAGCGTACTAAGACACCATTATAAACGCCAAAACATTAATATGATATTTTAAGAAGATACTACTTAGAACGAAATTTCGAATCGCATCGCTAGAACATACCAAGATAACAATAAATCATATTTCTAACACAAAGAGGAAACATCCCACATCAAATCATGAATTTCAAAATAAAGATATCATATCCAAATGACGATAACAATTTAATTTTTTTTTTTATCAAAATGCGATATCAATTTGAATACAATATAATAACAGATCATACGAGCATTAACTCGAGACCAAGACAAACGTAAATAAATATGTATCTTAACATCACTAGAATATCATTTTCAGTTTAAAGCAACGACAATAAATCCTATATTTTCGTGCCAAGGCACCATTTCGACAAGAGAATACCAGCACACCACCAATCGTACAGCATAACTACACTAAACCACCACCTTAAAAAACAGAGCAACGATAATAATTCTTATATTTTCGATATACGGCACAGCAAGAATCGAAAATCCGAATATTAGCATACTAACTCAAGGTCAAAGAAAACGGCAACCTTTCTAAGTGTCGAGGCCATATTTCGAATCCAAAGCGACGATAAAATAAATGATGTATCATAATATTCGAGCACCTTCTCGGTATCAATAAAATAACGATAATACATAGTGCATATAATCATTAACAAACCATTTCGAAATCAAACCCACGATAATAAATCGTAAACAACACTTCGAAATCAAAGCAATAATATTAAGTTTCACACTCACTTCGGCTCAGGACTCTTTTTGCGCGCGAAGCACGAAGTCCTTGGTCTTTTGCACGTTTGTGCAGGGGGCGGGTGGGCGGGTCACCCTTGAGCCGAGAGCCTACGGAGGTGAAACACTACGCACGCAGCGCTAAGCTACCACGTTTCACACTCACTTCGGCTCAGGACTCTTTTTGCGCGCGAAGCACGAAGTCCTTGGTCTTTTGCACGTTTGTGCAACCTTCCCCCCTTCATATAAAAAGGGGTGTGTATGCCCCTCCACACAAAGGGGTTGTCGGTCGCGAAACGCGACACGACAAGGGCACACACGAAAGGGGGATGGCGGTTCACTTATTTGGGAACCCTTTGACCGGTGTCATGTCGGCGCGGGCCATGCAGGCTGCAGTGTTGGCAGACGCCTTCCTAGACGTCCAAAGGTATGCCAAAAAGGCGTCTGAGTTCCACCGGCCCCAGGTTCGGAGGACGTATGAATCCATGCCCCCTGCCCACATTGCGGAGGCTCCCCCAAATCTTAGAGAGTGGGGAGTGTAAGCTTGCGCCTCCTCCCCGAAGCAGGCTGCAATAGTCTGCAGGGCAGTCTGGATGTCCTGCCTCGTAAGCTCTCCGAAGAACTTTTCCTCCGGATGCGGCGTGGCTTCCGACCATCTAAGTTCCAGAAACTCTATGGTCGCCAGCACAGGGCAGACGGCCGCGTCGCTGCGAAACAAATTCCTCGTTGCGGATTCCCCTTCAGGATCCGTCTTAGAGGCTTTCACAACTATCTGCACCTCATCTGCCCCACGGAAGGGTGGCTGTGAAAAACAGAGCGCGCAGCACTCGGTCTTTTTCTTGAGCCAAAGCGGAGTCGCGTCGGGCTCTGACTGACAGTGAAACACCTTGCAGCTGTCTGTCTCCAAGCAAAACACTTCAAGCACTAACGAAACGAGACGAAACGAACGTGCAGTCACTTCCTAACTCAAAAGCACTCCTCACAGCTTCAGGCATGCCGAAAACATCAGGACATCCAAGGTCAAATGGGATTTTCTCTCGAAGCGCACAGCTGTCGCGGCTCCAAGGCCAAGTGAAAGAAACTAACAAGCTACCGAAACACAGATCAACAGAACTACACTGCCTACGGAAGTCTCGCACTGCCACCCGAAAGTAGCAGAGCGAGACTGTTGCACGCAGCGTCCTGGACCTTGTGTGGAGAAACACGCGACAGGGATGCATGAGCCACGAATATCAACGGGCATGCAGGCAGGATGCATCCCAGTGCCACGGAGAGGCCTAACAAGGCAAAAGTTGCAAAGTCAGCACCAGCTTGACAGACCTGCAAGCAAGCAGGTTGAGGTGTAGAGGAGTAGACCGCAGCCGCCCAGCACCTGTACAAACCAGCTACCAGCAGCCTGTACACAGCAGCCTGTACACTCCCCGATGGTATGAACCCGACTAGGGCACACACCACCAAGGGCACATGAGCATTATACCAAGAAGGCGACTCAGAGGCCCGGCAGTGAGCTGAGCATCCAAGGAAAACATGAGCTCTCGGATTCAGGACCGACTCAAGGTGCAAGATCGTGCATGCGAGTTTACAAACTAGCAGCCCAGCACTACTGGGTTCAAGACCCGAAGTCGGGTATGAGGTGGCATATTCTTCAACCAGCATTGGCACAGCAAGGCACTGCTGAGTTAAACCGCCCACCTCACAGACCACACTAGGTATATAACCAAACCCATGGCACAGGTTTTGCAAGTGCATCATGACTCATACCTGACCTGGCCATAGTGAAGTTGCAGGGTCCACCAAGGTGCAGCAACAACATGTGATCGCATGACTTGGGCGATGTAGGTGCAGCCACTGGCGCACTCCGGGACCCCTTAGTGTTTTTTTTTTTTTGGTGGGTGCAGCCACACAGGGCACACACCTGTGATTCACCACGGCTTTGGCTATAATTGGCATAGCAGCTTTAGGTTGCACTGCCCACGAGGCCCGCACGGGTAGGCATTTTAGAAACCCAAAAGGAACGCCAAACAGAAAGGGTGCAGCCTACAGGGCGCACACCGATGCATTATTACAGGGGTTGAAGCTAGGAGTTGTCCAAGTCAACAGGGATGCACTCCCTATAAACCCCGAAGCCGGGAATATGGCATATTCATCAACCCAGACCTAAGTTTTTGGGTGCCCATGGTAAAATGTGGGCAGCGGCCCTGGTGCATCCGAACCATGGGTTACCCTTCTGACCCAGGCCCAAAGGGTGTATGCATAGTCATCAGGAGGATTGTTTTTTTTTTTTGGAAGGGTGCAGCCAACAGGGCGCACACCTTTGCTGCAGACCACAGGCTTTAGCTGTTACAGTGAAAAGCACCTATTAAGGTTGCGTTCCCAGCGAGGCCCGAAGTCGGGTACAAGGCATATTCATCAACCCAAAATTGAACGATAAGCACTAAGGGTGCTGCCGGCAAGGCGCACACCGATGCATTATCGAAGGGATTTAACCCAGGACAGTGTCCAAACCAGCAGACGTACTCCCCACAAGGCCCGAAGTCGGGTGAATGGCATATTCATCAACCCAATTTTAAATTTTTGGGTGCAGCGTTCAAGCGCACTCCAGCTGGGGATTTGACAAGTGGGGACTATGTTATGACACCGATCTGCAAATGAAACCTTTCAAAAGGGGCTTCACACCGCCTACTTGAAGGAAAGACGTGTTTGTTGTGCGGTGTCTTTGCACTTTGCTTTGGGTTTCCCTTTGGGTTTAGCTTTTGCCTTAGCCTTACTAGCTGGTTGTGGTACTTGGGCATTGGTATCACTAGCAGCAACCTGGGGCTGACTTTGTTGCCAGACTGCCTCGATTGATTTGCTTCCAGAGCTCTCCACTACAGACAAAGTGCGCGCCTGTGTTTTGGAGTTGATCTTACGACCGAGGCCTTGGCAGGGAGCTTGAAGCACCGCTGAAACTGAGGTTGATGCGATTTTTGCAATGCCCAGACACTTAGTGCAGGTGAAAAAAGATCCTTTGTTAGTCATGTTGTGAGTGGAATGCACTTTCCAAGACACAGGCATACAAGCTGAAATGTTCACACATGGGTGGGACGCTTTGCGATCGAAAATTTCAAGAGACTTGCATTGTTCAATATACAGTTGGCACACAGTGCATTGAATAGCAAAGTTATTGACCGCTTTAGTTTCACAAGCTTTCCAATCATGACCCAAAGAGGAATCAGGGTGTGCCAACATGGCCTGCAACCTCTGTTTTTTGTTGGGCTTCGGTGGGGCCTTAGGCTTAACAAAAGCTTGTCCCGGCCTTACCAAGTGTTGCCTCTCTATGTCACCAGACACAGGCCTGTTGGCAGGGCATCGTACAGCCTGAGAAGCAGCACGATGCGGCATGGCTCGTTGGGACTGTGACTCCCTCTGACTGGTTAATCTCGCCGCTCCTCGTTTTTCTTCAAAAACCAAGGGGGCAGGATCTTTTTTGGAAGTCAACAAAAGCTCCACACGTTCAGCAAGAAAAGTCGAGATCTGCTGAGCAAGACGGTCCAACTCCTGCACATCATTTTTAAAGTTGACATCAACAAGGGTTGCAGCAAGCTTACCACATTTATCATCAGCTAAAGTGTTGGCCTTCATGCGCCACAACTGGTCAGCCCCAAACTCCTTTTTGAAAGCATCAACAGATTGGTGCGACCGAACCCAATGACAATCAAGATTATCAAGTCTTTGGGATTTCTTAATGGCCGTTTGACAGTCACATGTGACATCTGCAAAGCCATCGACATTATCAGCAAGGAGTCGCAAAGCATGTGTTTCGCCTTCTGCAACCGACGAGCCGACTGGAAGAAAACCTGTGATGGATGCAACGCAGGTGAGCTCATCACCCTCTTTAGTTAGAGCCAACAGAGCAAAGGCAACGATACGTAAACGGGAGTCAACACTATCCGGCCCACCTGAGGCGTCAGTGCTGAACACATAAGACGATGCACTCAGCTTGCTGTTGGTTTTCCATAGACCTTCGCGTTGCAAATGCAAGGAAGACTTTGGACGATGCTGCCGCGTCCACTTCTGGGGCACAAGCCCTCGCTGCCACAAACTGTTCGAAGGCCATTTTTGCTTGAGCTCAGCCCAATGTTCAGGTGGGTCGCGGTGGCGCCCGGCCCAGTAATTACATTCAAGGAGTACGTGCGACCATGAAGCATCGCAATGGCATAGCGGGCATTGTTGAGTGCCCCCATTTTGATTATGAAGCACTGCACCTTGCCACAAAGCTTGAAGCCACTTTGTGGTGCGCTTGTGTTTGGTTTCACGCCGTGTTCTGGCCCTGTGGCTGGCCCAATCAACACCTTCGGCAAGGAGAGGGTCATCCACAAACGCAGCAATACGGGCATGCCGTAGTTGTAGGAGCTTTGCTTTAACCCTCTCACACAGGAGTGCCTTAAAACCGGGTTCCTTCCAAGTGCAGGCGAAATCCTCACCATCCCAGCTCCAGAGCTCAAAACTGTGAGCATCGATCTCAAGTTGCATGAGATAGGCTTGCGCAGCCGCCATCGGCCCAGAAACACATTTCCACGGGTGCGGCGAAGCCTGGAGTCGGCTCCACGTGCTGCTCCAAGAAGTTTTGAGCTGACCCCACAGTGTTTCCGGCCATCGAAGAAAAACCTTAGCAACCGTGGCAAAGTGCTGTGTTAAGATAGTGATAAGAGGGTCCTCAAACTTGCTATGCAAATCGAAAAGCAAATCAAGGCTGCCAAGCTTGTGTCGCTGCAACTGCTGCGCAGCACACCCTCGCAGCCACTTCAAACGCTTCGGAGAAATACCCTGAGCCTGATGACCCCAAGCAGCAGAGGCGAAAATGCCTCCTTTGTACAGTCTCCACTTGTGGGACAAGGAGGGAACTTTGAGCGATCGCATACGCCCTGCTCTGGCCTGGCCCTTTGCATGACGAGCCTTTGCAACTGTAATCCTGCGACGACGTGCTGCAGAGTAATCCGTTCCTAAGTCGCGCGCTAGGGATTTGATAGGCGGGTCGTCAGGGCCTAAACGCTTTTTTAAAGATTTTTCGGATGGTGAATCCGTGCAGACAAAACACGTTTTTGCGATGGACATGTGGAGTCCATCCTGCTGCAAGGCATGCTTCAACAAGCGGTATGATTGAACAGCCCGATTTGCCGTCTTCTCTGCTTGAGCGCCTTCAGTATCTACACTGACATCGTCCAACCAAGCCGTGATGTTGTCAGCAAGTTTGGACTTGTGCAATGAAGAAAGGCTCGGGAACAGTGCCAGTTTGGCTATTGCTGGCGCATAGGGGCATCCGGCCATGAGGCCGGATGCCCCGAAGCATCTGGGCGAAACAACACTATCCGAAATGATGTATCTGGCCCCTCTGTAAACTTTCAAGGCAGTGTCGGCACACAGTGGCGGAAAGTTATGCAGCAGGGCCTGCTGGGCAACCAATTCATGTGATACTGATTCATAGAATGTTTGAATATCAATGAAAAGAACTATTCGACTTAGCTTCCTGGCCCGAGAGAGTTCTGCTTGCAGCAGACGCCTGATGCTGACATCAAGTGTGCTTTGGCCCGGTACAGCATGCTCCCAAGGGGCTTTATGAATGAATGAAGCAAGCCATCGATCAACTTCAGAAAATCTCAGTTTCGCCCACAATCGGTACGACGAACTGCACAAAGCAATAGGCCTCTCGACTAGGAGATTTTTAGGCAACATGGTTATCAAGGTTGTCAGCCAGTGCTCCGGCAAAATCCCATCACACTCTATGCGATGGAAAATTTTTAGTAAAGCTTCTAGCGCCTCATCCGGCAGAACTTTGAACTGTGCGTAGCTCCAACCATCGGCTCCCCCAGCTTTGTTGCTGAGCTTGCGTATCCTTTGCTTGATTTGCTCAAGGCTCAAGGGTGGTAGCTGTGCCGCGTGCTCCCGGGCTACTTGCTGAAGCTGAGAGTCGAGCTCCGGTAGAGGCGACGGTTGCGCCTTCCACAATTTGCTCCAGAACTCCAGCCTAAGGAAAGGCCGAAATTCCAACGGACAATCAAGAAAAGGCCTTTCGACTTTGGCTTCTGGATTGCTGAGTGCTCTGAAGAGGGGCCGCATTCCAGCTTTCATGGAAGACTGAAGCCAAGACTGATAATCCGCACTTTGGTTCGAAAGATGCAACTTCCGAGCATGGCGCTGCTGGCGGGACGTGGCTTCAACCCAAGCGGTATCCGGCTCACAACCGTTGAGCACGTCAAGGGCTTGGGCCTGCCATTGGTTAAAGGGCAGGTTGCCAACATCAGCCCAATGGGTGTCAGCTTGAGCTAAGAAAGCCTCCGGTTGTTTTGAAGGATTGCTCCGGAAGGCTCGAAAATTTTTGGACCACGCAACGATGCGGTCCCAGAAGGATTCGGCATGTCCCTTCCACAATCGGTGTGGGGCAGACGGAGTCACCAGCGGCTTGGCCTGAATCACAAATGAACTGCCAGGAAAATTATCGAAAACCCCACAAGACGCGGCCGCATCTCGGGACCAGCTCGCAAAAACACTAGTGATATCAGAAATGTGCTGGCTGCCCTCCCACATGACCTGACAGCGGGAGGCAGACTGGTTGAAAGGTTGTTTTGCACCTTCAAGCTGTCTGAAGCGGGGCAGTTGCGGAACAGCAGTGGTGCAATCAGCTACCAGCGAAAATTCAACAAGAGCATGAGGGCGAAAAGGCGCTGCCCAATCTAGGCTCGGCTTAAAACACCCGGATAAGGAATGGCAAATCAAGGCATAATCAAGGCAGGCACCATGGTCAGTCGTTGGTCCGCCCGGGGATAACAACAAGCCGCGTGCCTCAGTGGGGATGGACGTGGCTTGCATTTCCTCAATCGGCAAGTTAAAGTCACCCATAACAATCCACGGCACAGCAAGACTCCGAACCGTGGCTAGCAAGGTGGCGACGATGGTACAGTTGGGTTCGGCTTGCAGAGAGCATCCAGTTTGCAAGTAGAGGTTGATGACAGCCAAAGTCCACCCTTTCAAGCGAAAATGGTCAACTAGAAAACCACAGCCTTCAGCTAAAAACTCAAAAGACTGGAAGACATTAAAGTGAGATGCCGAGATGGTGACCAACCCTCCGCGGACTCCTTGTTGCTTTCCTTTGCTGCCGGCCCCAAAGTGGCTGGACAGGCCCCGTGCCGAAAGCCACGTTTTTGATTTAGGGACGTCCTGTAGGAGGTGGGTTTCCTGAACACAAAGTAGGGCAGGCTTTGAGGAAAGACCCGCAATCCAACCTTTAAACTTTGGGCCCCAGGTGGTGATGTTAAGTGAACACAGCCTCAAAGGCTTGGGCTGCACCTTAGTTTGGGCTTGCGCGAGTTGTTTGGAAGCTGCGATAGGCCACGCAGCATCAGCCTCTTCAGCCAGGCATTCACAAATGCGGTGGCCCGCCCACCATTCCAAGGAGGCCTCATCAAATGTATCCTCAATGACCTCAACGGTGGCAAGAAGCTGGCGTTCAACACTGGCAAAACCCGACATGGCACCTGACTCAAGCAAGCTTCCAACGAGGCTCCAATCAACTTTAGGATCATCTGGTTTGTGTTGCAGGGCTGGGGCATCAGACACCAAAGGTTTACTAGACACCTGACGGGAGTCCCGCCCAGTTGGATCCGCAGAGAAGTCCGGATGCTGCAGCGACACATGTGATGGTTGTAGAGGAGTGCTGCCAGCAGTGCACACATCCTGCATCGAAGAAGGGATGGATGTCCAAGACCCACAGACAGATGCAGCAGTGTCAGGGAGGCGCTCCTCGGACATCAAACAAGGGTGCCGGGGATGCCCCAAAACGTGATTTATGACTGTAGACCCTGCCACACACAGGGCGGGGAAAAGGGGTTCAGGAGGGTCTACAGTAGGGTCAAAAGGGCCATTTAAGGAGGACTGCAAAGCCGACTGGTAGGTTTTCCGAGTGCTGCCAGCAGGGCGCACATCCTGCATCGAAGTAGAACTGGATGTCACAGAAACTCCGGCCGTGTCGGAGTGATTGCCACAAAGAGTATCAAGGCCAAAAGAGGCACAGAAATTGGGGTTAGGGCCCAAGACCTGGGATGCACACGGGTTCGGGATTGAAAATGAAAAACCGGAGCCAGGCTTCGAACTCAGATGACAATCGGAGGCGGAGACATTGCAAGCCTCACGACGTTTGGCTCGGTTGATGCGCCTGCGAGTGCGCCTGGACTTGACCTGAGGCTCATCCCCAAGGTGAGTCGCACCACAGAAATTGGGGTTAGGGTCCAGCACACGGGAGGCACGCGGGTTAGGGCGAGGAAATGAGAAATTGTGGCCCGGACCTGATGATTGCGGGGCGGGGTCACTCCAAACCGAAGCGGATCCGGCAGCCTCAACCCAATCCTCGGAATCAAACGCCTCTGCAGGGAAAAACAAGGGGCCTGTCAGGGAGTTTTCAAAACTGTTGGCAGAAGAACTCGAAGTGTGGCATGCCCTCGACCATTTACACAGACATGTGGCGCACAACTCAGTACAGACTTGTAGCACCTGAGCCAACTCTTCACGCGGCTTCGCATAGTAAGCATGCCTGCAGGCTTGAACAAAGCTGACTGCCTCTGGATCCGACAAAGATGCTAAGGTCGGGTGGTCACCACAGCTGCTGCACACACCCAGCTGAAAACCTGAAATGTCGCACCCCAGCTCGGCCTGAGAAGCGTCACACTTAGAGGCAATGGTTGGAGTCATGCTCGAGTTTGCACCAGCCGTCCCATTCTCAGCTGAAGAACTGCTCACAACCAGCAAATTGGGGTAAGGGCCCTCAAGAGGGGATACACACTGGTTCGGGAGGGAATACATGCCCGCAAGTTCGAAGATCCTGTGCACAGGTTGACCCGAAGGCACATAGGGATCAAGAAGGAATGCAAAAACTCGGTGCACAGGTGGGCCTGACAGCACATACGGATCAAGAAGACAGCACCTGAGGAGCCTAAATTGCTCACCTTGGTTGGGCAGGCAACTTTGGCACACTGGCAAAAGATTAGGCTTCAAGCCTGAAACCGGCTCCGACAACGGCATTTGGCAGCTGGCACAACACAAGTCCTGACATGTCTGCTGCAAGCTTCTGTTTACCAGACCCAGCTCCAAGCCCGAAAGCCTAAGGAAACCAGCAAGTGCAAACGAGGGCTCAAGGAGGACACCACAACTCTCTCTGGGGAAAGATTGCCTTTGGCCAGCACAGTTTGTAGCCGACGCAGCCATAGGCCGGAGATGGAGCGCAGACGGCGCCTGGGCCGCACAGAACGCGCAAAATTCACTCGCAAAGTCAAGCAGCTGCCGGTGGCAAACATGTGTTGCGACTGGCAAAATAGATGCACAAAGAGCACAAGAAATGTGAGCTGAGAAAACCTGCGACGCTGCCAAAACCTCGAGGCTCCCTGACACACTACCGTGTTGCAAAATGCCCGAAGAAACAGACTGGTCCGAATTGGCACTCTGAGGAACCGGCACCTCTGCTGCAAAACACTCTAAACCAAAATCTCTCACCGCTCTGTCCAGGGCAACGGTTTCATCCGATTGCTCGTTCAGTGCACTGCACAGGTGGGGTCGGGATTTGGGGGTTTGGCTGCAAGTAAAAACATGAGATGCTGCTCTGCTGTGCTCGCCAACAGGGGAGCGACGGCTATGACCGGATAGCAAAGAGCCATCCCCTGCAAACCCAAAGCCAGGAACCCCTATCCCCCAACCCTACGTCTGCAACTGCTGCTGGCCCTGTGCACCCGCATGCGGCGCACCAGTCGGCCCAGGCGGACCTCCAGCCTGTGGTCCAGTACCTCCCCTGCCCCTGCTTCTGGAACGACCTTTGCCCTCACGACGGGCAGCAGGCTCGTCGCCTGGTGATCCTCCCGGAGGGCCCAGGGGACCCTGCGATGCTTGATCTGGCATGTGGGCATCTGGCAATTCCGATTGCTTCTTAAGGGAGACTTGTTCAGCAATAATACCACAGAAACGATCACGAAAGGCTTCAAGCTGCTCCAGAGGCATGTGATCAACACTTTTAACCAGAGCACTCTCAATGTCAAGCCTGGATTCCGCGACCTCTGCAACAACAGAACTCTGCAACTGCTGCTGCAGCAAGGTGACTTGGTCCTGTTTGCCGCACAGATTGGTGTCCAGGGTTTTCATGTCATTGAGCATGCTCGTGTAGACTTCTTTGTGTTTGTTGATTTTCAGTTGAAGAGCGGCCTTTTTCATAATAAGCTCTCGAAGCTCTACGGTCGCAGTCTTGAATTTCTTGCTGGTATCATTTAGCTGCTCGAAAGCAGAAAGCGGTTTTTCAGGCGGCTCCTCCACGAGCTCTCGGATGGCCGAAGAAAGCTCCGACATGTGCTTCTTACACATTTCAATCAAGTCAGGCTGCGGCCCCTCCGGCTCTGAGAATCCGCACTGCATGAGGAGCTCTTTCTGATGATCGCTGGCAGACGCAAAAAGCGCCTTAACCGATTCATCAGGCTGATCCTCATGCTCAGCCGCTTTATTGGCCCCTTTTCCTTTGCCTTCTCCGCCCTTCACGAGGCGGACAGCCCTGTTTGAGCCCCCAAGCCCCGGCGGCGGAGCTGGCTGCTTGGGCTGCCAACCTGCATGCTCGATGGCCTGACGCGCCGCTGGTGGCAACGCGTCCCATACTGTCAAAAGAGCCCTCTGCGCTGTACTGACAGGAGCTTCCGCACGATCCCTTCCAGCCTTGGGGCCCTTAGTCTTCCAAACACGGGCCGGGTCTGCACGATTGGCCCAGTCCCCTCCTGCAACTGCATTCGGCTTCTGCTGTGTGGCCTTCGGCCACTGGCATCCACACTTCTTGCAGAACGGGTTCGACCCGACACGATCCTGAAAGATCCAACTGCTAGGCCCGCATTTCTTGCACACGTGATAAGCACGCGACATGTCTGCACTGACCTCTCGCGCAAGTCGTTGCGCGCCTGCTGCCTTCCTTCAAGGAAACTGTACGCAAGAAAGTTGGCAACAAAGGGCGTTTTTGCAAGCAAGGCCCTCAAAACAAAACTTTTCCAAGAAAATCAAGCGATCTGTGCAAGCAAGATGGTTCAAGGTTGCAAGTTGCAGCGGTGTTCAAGCAGATGGCGCAAAGAGCGCCTGACAAACTACGGCTCCCGCCCAGCCCTCGCCGGCTAATCCGGCCTACGACCTCTACGAGGTTACGGTTTGGGTTCTGTTCGAGAGCACTAGAATGCAGGCCTCAAGGCTGGCCACGTCGGCACCTCAAGTTTGAGCACTCACGGCAACTTGAGCCAAATGGGATTTTCTCGTCGTGGGCGAACAAGTCGCTGCCAGGCCATCGGCCGGCGGTTTGGGGTGAAACAGGCGGTTTGGTTTTGCCCACCTTTGGTGGGTTCTACTCACCAGTGGCTTCCACTGGGCTGGAAGAGCTTTGTCAGTAGCACCAGCCTTCTGAGCTACACCAGCAGGGCTGGTTACTACTGACACCAGTTCTGTAGGTTGTGGTGACTGGTTTGGCCCTACAGCTGGAGCTCTTTGGCCCAGACACCAGCTGGGCTGGTTGCTACTAGCACCAG